GGCAATTCTCCCACCTTGGCCTGCCAAAGTGCTGGAATTACAGGTGTAAGCCACCATGCCCAGCTTAGATTCTTAATGAAGACTTGTTTTCCTCTAATCTCTTGTATTCTCTGGAGCAGTGGGTGCATAGGAAAAAAAAAAACAAAACAGAGAACTGAGGGTTATGGAAAGTTAAATTCCAGCTTAACTGAAATAATATCTCTTACTGGGCAAAATGAATTCTCTCAAATATGTGATGTTTGTCTTCACCCTCACATGTTCCGGGACTGAATTGCTAAGCAGCACCAAGTGCCGGTGAGCAAGTGGTGAGGCCCCGCTGCCCCGCATCCACCTTCAAGTCATGTGTGTCAGCTACTGGGGTGAACGAGCTGACTGCCCCCACCAATCATGTCCCCATGTCATCACTCAGACTACATGCCTCCACCTCCTTAGAAATCCTCCCACAAGGACACAAGGACAGCTACCCTCCCACTGAGAGTCCTCTCCCTAGCTCTCCATGGCACATCTGCCCTCCCCTATGCCTGTGACCAGGTGCTCTCTAGCCATCTAGTGTCTGCTGACACTAATACCTGTAAGCTACTTGAGGTCGAGACTTGCATCTCATTCATCTTGCAGCCTCTCCTTCTCCAGAGATGACATTTCCCAGGTGGTCTTATTTATAAATACTTAAAAACTTCCACACACCACTTTCTGATTTGAAAAATATAGGAACTATCTCATATCCCAGAAACTTATGAATGGCTCTTGTCTGAACAAATATTCTAAGCTACGAACCCTTTTCTTCCTCTTGCAAGTGCCTAGAGTAAATAACTGTGTCCTGGCAGGCCCCAAGGACCCCAGAAGCCTCTCATCTGGGCGGGAGACACCTGCTGCTGTGTGTCTGCCAGGGAGTCAGCTGGGAAAGGGAGAAGCCCCTTGACCTGCTCTGCTTCCCTTTCACCTGAACCGGGCCCAGACCTTCAGACCAGGGATTTGGCCACAGGCAGAGAAAATGGTAAGACATGAGAAAAGACTTCCAGACTGAGAGCACGGGCCATGCGGGGTGGGTGAAGGGGAGGGATGAGAGGAGGAAGGCTGTATAATGTGGTTGGGGCATGAGCTGGGGAGGACGGGTGGCTGAGTTGGCTGAGAACAGACCCCCAAATCTCTGCAGGACAACTCATAAGAGCGGCTTTCAATATTTTTTCATCATGACTAAGAGTAAGAAATACCATTTTTCATCATGTCCCAGGAGATAGATAGATAGATAGAGAGAGAGAGAGAGAGAGAGATCTGTGCATGCACATAGTAAAACTGAAATTAAAAGTTACAACATAGTAACTACCATTTGATACGTGATGATGTACTCTGACATTTTCTATTTTATTGCATTAAAAAATTGTTGCTCTCAACCCACTGATTTGACTTAACAATCCACTAGCAGGTCATAGTATGCAACTTGAAAAACTCTGCCCTATCCTGTCTCATTTATTTCAGAGGAGCTTCGAGGCTTTGGAATTCCCGCTCTACACAATGCTCCCACTCAGCTGAGCGCCTGCTGTATGCCGCACACCATGCCCAATGCTGGCAGAGCTGGGGATGGCAGAGAAGGGTCACACACATAGACCAGAGGGCCGTGTGCTAAAGGTGGCAACAAAGGCATCCACGTGCCACACAGACCGGAAACCTGAGGGCATTAAGCTACCAGTGAGCACCAAGGTCAGGCACCACCTCCCAGTGGTTGGTATCAGAAAGCAGACAGAGGTATCCTTGTCCCTCTCAGCCTCCATGCCCTGTTGAGATCCCAACCTCCCTCCTTCTCTCCCTGAGAATGGCCCAGAGGGTGGAGGAAGATCACATGGCAGCTCTATTTGGAAACACGAGGATGACTGAGTTGATCCTGGCAGCCGCCTGGATGCTGAGAGCCTCCATGTCTTTCCAGCGCCAGGCTGGGGACGCTTTGGGGAGGTCCCTTTAGAGTGGCTGTCTTTATGATTCACTTGGGGGCTTGTTTCAGAGCTGCCTGTTCCCCACTTACTAAAGCCTTAAAGGGAACTCATGCATCTCAAATTTATTTCTCATAAAAATTTTGTTTTATTTTTTCCACCACCCTCTAAGCATTCTGGAAGGAAAAAATAAGCCACTCTGAAGGCATCCTAAGCTTCTACAATCATCCCAGTGAGGTGCTGCAGGAGCTCAGCCACAAGTAGCGAAGAGTGCAGAACTATTTCCATAATGGAAGACAGTGCAGCCCTACCTCGTTGCTGTCACTGCAGCCCCTCCTTCCTCCAGCAGGCCCTTTCATTCTCACCTCCCTCCAGCCTGGGGATGAAGGCTGTGGCCTGGCTCTCCTGCTGGTCTGCGAGTTGAGAAGCCACTCAGATCACTCGGATGGATCAGGGAGAGGTAGAAAATAGAAGCAGGGAGACTCCAGCAAGGAAACAGTGGCTGCCTCCATATGCCCCCTCTCTCCAGCTCGGGGGCAGGGGAAGAACAACCAAGGCCTCCTGGACAGGGACCTGGGATCAGTCAAGCTCTTTCAGAAGCAGCTGGCCACTTGAGGTAAACCAGGAGCCCCTCCTGGACAGAGGCAGCCCCTGGCTTCTCTGTATCACCCGGGCCTGGCCGAGGCCGGGCAGCAGAGGCTCTATCCCAGGCTGAACTGACTGGGAAACACAGCCCAGTCACTGATGTCTCTCTTACCTGGCCAGGTGTGTGATAGGCACTTGACCATGAAGGCTTAGAGCTTTAGTTTCTACCTGTGTCAAAGGGAGACCATCACCCTGTGGATGTGGGACGGCACATGACCATTCTTGGTAAGATGTAAGATGCTTCCACATGTCGAAATTATTACTGACATTCTGCAGAAAAGCAGAATATGTCTATGCAAGAGGAGCCAAAACAGCTGATCTTTGCTCTGTGGCTGTGCCTGCTAAGAGATATTGTCTGCCTTTTAGAAGGGTAAGGACCAGGAGATCTGGGCCATCCTTGCTGCCCACTTTGGTGCAAGTCACTTCTTGGACTGCAGCCGACATAGATACCCACTTGACCTGCTCCCCTACCTGGGGAAAAGCCACCTTCTTATCTTGAACCACCTTTTGGGGGTGGGGGATAAGCTTCATCTGAAAGATGAGAGGACGCTGAGATTCACAGAGCTGCTGTGAGCCTTCCAAGGCCACAGTTAGGATATGGGGAAGCCAAAGCTGGTGCTGGTGAAACCCACCTGTCCACCCACTGCACACCCAGCTCTGGTCTCGCTCAGTTACTGCCCCATTTGGATGAGCAGCAGAAGGAAGCGGAGGCATCAGGAGGGGCCACAATGAACAGAGACAGGAGAGGAAGGACCCAGGCAAGAAGGGCCTGGCCAGGAATGCAGGGGGCGAGGGGCTCAAAAGCAAGCTCCTGGGTGAGCAGGACAGCACAGGAGGGAGAGCTGCGCATGCCAAGGCACTTCTGGGCAGCCTCCTTCTGCTTAGAGACTACTCAGAGGCCCCAGTGACCCAGGAGCCAATCCAGGGGCAAGACACTTGAGGACTGTGGTCTTGGGAGCATAAGACTGAACCAGAGCCCACCCCCAGGGGCTTCCCAGAGTCCAGGCAAGAGAAGTCCGTCCTGGGCACAGGGCTGTTCTGGAATCACATACTGTCCTGGCACCGCGGCAGTGTCACTGTACAACCTGATGCTCTCTCATGATGTGTTTGGGCCTCGGTTGATTCATCTATCCAAGGAAACATCCAGAACCTCAAAGGTCAGCTGGTCTCACCTCCCACCCAGCCAGGGTCAGAGTCCTGCCTGTGGCACCTCTGACAGACAGGCACTCGCCATCACATGAGGCAGGCCATTCCCCATCAGATGGGCCGAAACTACTAGGACCCATCTGATGGAGAATAGCTCTCACCCTGCCTGGGCCAGGAAGGCATAGAGGAAGCCCTAGGCCACAGAGGGAGCCTCACACAGGGCTGATTCCATGTTTATTTGCACTAGAGGAGGGGTCACCCTCCTACCACTGCCCAGGGCCTGCCACCTGTCACTCCAGGTGAGGTTGCCTGCTGCTGACTTTGGAATGGAAGGCTCTCCCAGCAGAAGCCTGGGCCTCAGCAAGGGTTCAGGAGGTACTGGCTCCTCTCTCAGAGAAATGGCCTCATGTTGCTTTTAATCAAATGGCATAATGGCTATAAAAGGGCTTAGGAAAATGAAAGCATAACTGAAGGGGGTTATGATGAACATCACTGGCATTAGAACAGCATCCACATTAGAGGCCATGTGAGACAGGATGAACTGCGGCCTAGCCACCGAAGGAGGGTGCTGCAGAAGGGAAGACACACAGAGACCCCACTCAGTGCCCAGGTTCTCTGGGCAGGTTGGACCACTAGCTGGAGTTGAGGCGCGGCTCTCTGAGGTCCTAATGAGACAGAAGACACATAATTGCTGCAAGAGGAAGGAGGGACAGCTTCCTGACCTCAGCAGAACCCACCTTCCTGGGGTTTGCTGTTTGCAGAAGGCACCTATCAGACCCCTGGTTCCCTGGCGGTGAGGGCCCTGGCGGGCTGGGCTGACAGGGAGCAGTGTGTTTGTTCTGGAAGGCATAGAGAGGCTGTGCTGAACATGGCTGTCTAGTGGGCCCTGCTCACCCCTATGAAGAGGTCTCTGTGAAGCTAGGGGACTCAGGGAGGAAAAAGCACACAGCGGGCCAGAGCCGAAGGGTCTGAGACAGCCTAGGCTGGCAGGTGAGATCTGGAGAGGGAGAGCTTGTGGTCCACAGTGGCCTGGCTAGTTCACAGCTACACTGTGGTGAAAGCCAAGGCCATCTACCTGCCAGGGAATGCCAGTGTCCCACCCAGCACCCAGCAGGTGACAGGGCCTCAAAATGTGGACCTTCCCAGGCCCCATGTCCTTTGCTTAGGCATCTCAGACAGAAGGCCCAAGCTTCTCCTCCTGCCTGTGAAGGTCAACTCCAGAGCCCTGTGCCCTGTGAGCGCCTCGTGCAGCAGCCCAGGGCCAGGTGGACCAGGCCCACTCACCTACGATCTCGTTCTCCTCCAGGTTGATGGTCTCCAGCGCCGGCAGGGTGGTGAGCTGCTCAGGGAAGTCCTGGAACTGGTTCCGGGACAGGTCAATGGCCTTGAGGTGCTGCAGGGCACTGACCTCGCTGGGGAGGCGGTGTAGGAAGTTCCCCTCCAGGCGGAGCTCTGCCATGTGCAGGGAAGGAGAGAAAACAGGATGAGGAGGGGGACACCCCGAGACCACAGTGACTGCCTGCTGTGGCTCTCACCCTGCCGGGGCCAGGAAGGCATAGAGGAAGCCCTAGGCCACAGAGGGAGCCCCGCACAGGACTGATTCCATGTTTATTTGCACTAGAGGAGGGTCACCCTCCTACCACTGCCCGAGGCCTGTCACCTGTCACTCCAGCTGAGGTCGCCTGCTGCTGGCTTTGGAATGGAAGGCTCTCCCAGCAGAAGCCTGGGCCTCAGCGAGGGGTCAGGAGGTACTGGCTCCTCCCTCAGACAAAGCTTCAGCTCCAGGCCCTGATGGGGCAGGTCAGGATGGGCAGCTTCTCCCCCTCGGGGCTCCCCATACTCCATTTAGGGGACACCACTCTCCATGGCCCTCCCTGCTCAAGGGGCCACCAGGGGCAGCCACATTCTTTCAGTGTCATGTGCCCCTTCTCCCCTGGCCAACCACAGCTGACCCAACGTGGGTGGGTTCCTGCTCTGAGAGCAGCCGCTCTGAAAGTTGGCTAGCGACACATGCAGGGACCTGCGTCGGAAGGTAGCTGGGTCGGGGGAGTCCCTCTGCTGGGAACCCGGCTAAGGCAGTGCCAAGAGATGGGGCCAGATATAGTGTGGGCTGAAGCTGAGATGCTACGATTTAGTGACAGAAGCCGGGTGCCCACAGGGCCCTGTGCAGGGAGGAGAGCTGGGGGGCAGGAAGCAAGGGCGGTAGGTGGCAGAGGAGCACAGCCCAGGGCTGACGGGAGGAGGACCTGGGGTCCCCATGCTTGGGTACACACCTGCCATGCCCCTGCTTTCACTGTTCTTCCTTAGGATGTTATTTAATCCCCACAGAAAGGACATCATCTCACCTGTAGAAAGGAGCTAACATCACAATGCCTATCTCTAGGGCTGTGGGGAGATTAATCTGTGAACACAGGTGCAGCAGCATGACAGGGAGAGGCAGAGCTGAGGTCCTAGGGGCTGCCCAGTCCCCGTCCAGGTGTGGCCTTACAGTGAGTCTCTCCCCACCCTGTCTGACCCGAGGGAAACTGAGGCCCAGAAATGCTGAGTAACCTGAAGAATGTCCCCCAGTTCTTCTCCCAGGGCTGGCTTTGTGGGCATGGGGCCAGTATATTCACACGAGGTCTCACGATCAGAAGGGCCCCACACTTGGGGTGGAATGCCCTGTATGGCCATCTTGAAAGTCTTAATAATTTTATCCTTGAACCTGTATTTTGTCAGTGGAGCTGGGTCATGGAGTCTGAGCTTGCACATGATCCAACCTCCTACTGCCTCCCCAGGATGGCTGCCGGCTCTCCCGCCTGGCCTTCGCCTCCCCATCCCCGCTCTGCAATGACACTGCAGCCCTCCACCTCAGCAGGGAGGGTCACAGTCAGGTGTGCGTTCCATGTGTCTCAGGGTGGAGCACGTAGGCAGCAGCTCTCCCTCACCCTCACTCAGGGCCCCTGGGGCTTAGCAGGAGTGAGCCTCTTACCCACCCCTGAGCTAGGTACTGGGCAGGTCCTGACGCACAGGTTTAAAGAGCCTTGGAGTTGCCTGCCTGCCATGGCTGAGGGTGGTGGACACTTAGGAAGGGAAAACCTGGCTCAAGTAGCTCCTTCAGATCACCCCAGGCCAGGGTGGAAGGCAGTCAGTCCAGCATCTGGTAAGAGCAGAAACCTAGCAGCTGTCAGGCCTGAGGGTGGCTGCGTGGGTGCCCTGCATTGTGGACAGGGGCCCCGGGCCCTCTGAGTCTGTCCTTCCTCCCTTCCTCCTTCCAACCTTCCTGAGTCTGGTTTGAGTTTGTCCTTCTGGCCTACTCCAGGCACCTCCGGAGAAAATAAGCCATAAAATATGAATTATATAATTTCATGATTCTACACGATTTTAATGCTCTCATAATCGCACTTAAAACTGGCATTCCACAACATAAAGATAAATGGTAAAATTCATGCTAAATTTTGATCTTTCCTTACTTAGAACGACATGAAATAGTAAATGAAAGGCACCATGACACATTGAGAGAGACTGCAAAAGAAAGGGAAAAGCTTCCTATGTAACTTTTAGAAAAATGACCCCTGATTTCTGGAGTCATTTCTCTCTGTGCCCCACCAGTTTTGCAGCTGGCCCTGCCCCGCTCAGTGTCCACACCTGCTCTTCCATAGCCCCACAACGCAGCTGCTCTGAGCTCCCCACAGCCCCTCCCAGGTATCCCTACAGTGAAAGCTGACCCCCTGCACCCTTCCCAGTGCTCTGCATACACACACACACACACACACACACACACACGCACGCACGCACGCGCGCCTGACTACCAGCCCCACTGCAAGTGCCCTGCTCCAGCACACTGGGGCTCTGGGGAGACAGGAACTACATCTGATTCATCTTCGTCCCTACATCCAGCCTCTTGCAGACACCTTGTGTCACTCAGCAAATACGTGCTGAACAATGACTCTTCTCCCCTCAGGAGGCAAATAGATACTCCAGGGGGCCTGGACTGCCTTCCATTTTTCCATCTTCAGGGGCGTCAGAACCCAAGGTTCCATCAACAGGTCCAGTGTTCGCTTCATGCAAACCCAGGCCTCCCCTGGCAGCCAGGTTCTTGAATAGCCACACCTTAAATCACAGAATGCTGCTATCCAGATCATCATTAGGTCACAGTGTTGGGGGCTGGGCAGAGTGGCTTATGCCTGTAATCCCACACTTTGGGAGCTCAAGGCAGGAGGATGACTTGAGGCCAGCAGCTCAAGACCAGCATAGGAAAACCCTGTCTCTATAAAAAATACAAAAAATTAAGCCAGGCATGGTGGTGTGTGGTTGTAGTCCCAGCTACTCAGGAGGCTGAGGTGGGAGGATCACTTGAGCCCAGGAGGTGGAGGCTGCAGTGTGAGCCATGATGGTGCCTCTGCACTCCATCCTGGGCAACAGAGCGAGTCCCTGTCTCAAAAGTAAATAAGTAATAAAAATAAAGTGCTCTTTACCCACATATTTGTGAGGCTTGCTACCTGACTTTATGTGTGTCTTTGCTCAAATGTTACTCTATCTAAAGTAAGATCCCCTCCCATTGGATTCCCACTCTCTGCAGTATTTACCTTCATAGCATGTTATCACCTAACATGCTGACTTACCTGTGTATTCACTGCCTCTTCCCATGAGAAGGTAAGGCTGCACGAGGGTGAGCTTTGCCTGCATTGTAGAAACGTGTGCATGACACTGCCCAATACATGGTGAGTGCTCAACAATGATGAGTACATTATGATGATTATATAAATGAATTAGTGATGAGTGAATGAATGAATGAATATATCACCCTTCCAGTTCTGCCAAATATCTGTTCCATACACACCACTGTTTGTCCTTAAAATTGATTTGTTCTTTTTTACTTATATAAAAAGAAAATAGGCTGGGTGCAGTGGCTCACATCTGTAATTCTAGCACTTTGGGAGGCCGAGGCGGGCGAATGACTGGAGGTGAGGAGTTCAGCCTGGCCAACATGGTGAAATGCTGTCTCTACTGAAAATATAAAAATTAGCCAGGCGTGGTGGCATACACCTGTAATCCCAGTTATTTGGGAGGCTGAGGCAGGAGAATCCCTTGAACCCAAGAGGTGTAGGCTGCAGTTGCTGAGATTGTGCCATTGCACTCCAGCCTGGGCAACAAGAGAAAAATCCATCTCAAAAAAAAAAAAAAAAAAAGGAAAGAAAATAGTTGTTAGTGCGTCCCACGAAAATAATGTTATTCATTTCCCTCTGGACACTGTTGCCAGATGAGGAATCAGGGCCCTGGGTGGATTTATACCAGTCTGGCGTTGGGGGGAAGAGCACATTCCAGGCTGGGGGCAGCTGCCCCATGGAGTTGCTCAGAAGTCACTTCGCTGGAACACACATTTCTTCTTAGCTGAGAACACGGTCCACTTTCTCTGGCTAGTTGGTTCTTGTTTAACGCATTTCTCTAAGCCCTCATTTCCTAGGAACAGGCTGCCATGCTCCATGGTCTGGCTGCCAACAGCACCTTCAAATCCGCAGTTCACAGCCTGTGTGTCAGTAAGGCCTGTATGGGCCACAGAGGGAGCAGCCTGGCCTCTGTGGGGCATCAGTGGGTGCTCATAGGGCATTTTTGAGGACACAGCTTTGCTTCCAGGTTGCAGACAGGGAGGTGGCCAAAGTCCTTGATGGTGCCAGCTGTGCCCTGGTTTGTTTCATTTCCATTTCTGGAATCCCAGCATGCCTACACCACCTACAGGAAGGCTCCCCAACAGCTCACCTAGCCCTCAACCCCTTCCTCCCTGGGACGTGCTGCATTCTGCACCCCACCAGAAGATCTGCTGGCCTACACAGACACCCAGGACATGAGCCAGTGCCCAGAAGTGGGGTATGGCCCCATGCAGAGTGGGGAGTGGGGCCGCCCTGAACCTCTCCCCCTGAGGCTTGTGGTGGGAGGCTGTACAGTGGGTGTGGGGGTTACAAACACATGCTGTGGGGCAAGGTGTCCCAGGATTCTGCCTGACTGTGTGACCTTGGGCAAGCTGTTTATCTTTGCCTCCATTTCTTCATCTGTGAAATGATAACAGTACCAGATCCCCTTTCTCTGCAGGGTGGTTGTAAAGTTTCGATGAATTAATACATGAAAAATACTGAACAGTGCTAGGCACACAGTAAATTACACGTACGTATTGAGATAGACATGAGGATGGATGGACAGACAGACTGATAGATACGGCAAACCACGCAGGGCACCCGGAGCAACCCAGAAATCTGGTTAGTACTGAGTTACTTATGTCCTAGACCTGCATGGCTAACTGCCCATGCTTAGACTGAGGAAAGAAGAAAATGCTCTTTGCCTGAAGCAACAAGAATACCCTCTGTTGCTTCAAAAAGGCCCGGTGAATTAGCTGGGTGTGGCATCGTGCTCCTGTAATCCCAGTTACTCGGGAGGCTGAGGCAGGAGAATTGCTTGAACCCAGGAAGTGGAGGTTG